GGCCTGCTGGCAGGATGAGACTGGAGACGTAAACCGTTTCTCACATTTCTAGTTGTTGTGCTGATATTGAGACTGAGCTTATGTTTTTCGCTGCTGCTTGCAGTTTATGCACGGGCACTCTGTTTCTGTGCATTCACATGAACATAAACAGATGTGATTCAAGGTGTGTCGCGGTTCTCTAAGAATCTTGGAATTAGGAACCCTGTGCTTTTCTGTGTCCTGTCGCCTAGTGGGCTTCCTAGTAGCTTGCCTAGCCAGCTATATACTTCCCTCATGTTACACACCTCGCTTCTATATACTTGCGGCCTAACTGCCCGGCCTAAATAAAGAAGAGATTCAGCCTTTCGCCTTGGCCTTGTCTCGTTGCAGGCAGGTGCAGCAGCTGCTCGAGAGTGAATGTGAGTCGGCAACCTAAAGTGGTGTGGTGATACCTCTTCAGGGTTGAAGGATAAGCTACCGAATCGGTGAGACAGTGATTTTTTTGGGGGCTTCGATCAACTTCATGTTTTACGGAGAAGTGATTTCTGTGGTCGCCGTCCTGACGTTGATAGGCATGGAGGAAAAGGGTGATAGGCTGTGGAGACATTTGGAGATATCCAACTAGTGGCAGCCGCTGTACCTGTACAGCCTGTTTTGGCTCTTGTTCATCCTCACACAGCTCCTTCATTGTCTCATGCTGCCTTTTGTCATGCTCACAACTTCCATGCCTGTCTGACTTCTACAGCTTCCAGCTTGCCACCCGAATTGGATCCACGCCCTGGGCTCCATAGATACATGCAACGGAAAAGTCCATTTCTATATAGGTGGCCTACGCCTCAGGAACCGTAGGTCACGTGAACCTCGCAGCATTTGCATGTACTTCTCTGGGTGTTAGCATGTGGCCTCGTTAAGGAAGGTGGAGGAAATCAAGCCTCGTATGCGGCTCAGTTTGGGCTCAAGCTAGCTCTTGCACGATCATTCAAGCGCAAGCTAGACAGCTCTCAATATTTATTTTTTGCACCACGCATGCTGGAGGACACTCGCAGCACTCCCAGCAATCAGAAGAGGCGGAGGCTCAACAGCTCTGGAAACTTGAGAAGGTATGGCCTCCAACCTACTAGCGAAGGTATGCATGTTGAAGCAGTTATTTACTTTGAGGAAACCAGCCTTACATCCAGGCAGATGAGCTTCCCCATTGCATGCCAGAAGTTTGGCCGCAGAAAGAGATCTGGCATGAACGGTTTCGGCGGCGTCGCATGACCCTCTTTGAACGCTGGGATGTCAATGCTGGATAAACTCAATGGTGACCGTTCTTGGTCTACCCTTGGGGTCTGCCAGAAGGCACTTGTTAATGCAGAAGAGAAAGACTTGTACAACGCATTCAGAATCGGGCTCCAATGGGTACGGCTAGATGCAAAACCTAGCAACAGCCAATCGCTGTGAGGAGACGAGCCCCAAGAAGCCAATCTGTGCAGTTCCCAACCAGATCTTGACCGAGGCCTCTCCAGCTGCTGCATCTAACGGGCCAGGGCCCAAATAGAGGAACATTCTTTTTTGGGAGAAGGTTGTGCTACTTGTATATACTACTATTTTCTATGAGTTCATTGATGATTATCACAACACTGTCATATTTCATCAGGCTATAGATTCTAACGCATTTACTGAATTCACTCTCACTGGATTCTATTGCATGATACTCTTTAAGGAAGTCAGCTCGATCTGCTCGCTCAGCACGCTCCAGTGTAGAGGAGCTCAGAATGCCAACGGACTTTCAGCTTTTTAACTCTCAAACCTGGCCGATTAGATGCAGATGCTATGCGCGCACACACACACAGAGGTTTTCGCTAGGGTTCCTTTAGGGGTAGGCCGCAAATGGAAGCTGCGTAAGCTAATAGCCAATCAAGAAATCTAAGTAGCACAGAGAAGTCACTACATGAAGGCAAGAGGATCGGTTCCTTGAGGAAGATTCTCCTGCCTCAGTGTGGGAGAAGCTTCCTGAAGAATCAATCCCTAGACTTTGATCGGAATTATGCTCTAAGGCATCATTGGTGGTCGACGAGCAGCTCAATTTCTTGGCACAACTCCATAGAGGTGGGAGATGAGTGGAAAGAATAGGAAGGCTTTTGCGAAGGAAATGATTGGAACAAACTCTCCACTTGGCATCAAGATTATATGTGCTCGTGGCTTAATGGGCCACTTCCTCTAGGTTGCTTTAATGACACATCAGCCGAGCAGAGTGAAGACCTGTTGTTTGGGTCTCAGCTTCATGCATTTGTTGCCGCTCGATTTTTTCCTTTTCGATCTCATGGCATGAGGCATGAGGTGGTGGACAAGAGAGAGGCTGGAAGAACTAAGCGAGACCCGGCTCATGTGGCCACTGTGCTTGCATCAGGCTGCCAACCTCGGGCGGTGGAAGTTTGATGCCTATGAGTTGGTGAAGCTGGCCATGTTGACTTTGGGGCTTAGGGTATGGGGGAGTTAAAGCTGAAAACATGATCATATCGACAAGGCTTTTTCGACAGCAACGTAGAAGCACTGGCGAGAAATTTGTTTGTATATATATATATAATTGAGGTTGTTTGTTTGGATAGACAGTTGGGGAACATTGACAGACTAGAGATTTCGTACAATATGAGTTCATGATGTGTGTTTTTGGCAAGGTTGTATTAGGCCGTGCTTTGATTCCAGGTTTGTTCTTTCAGAGCAGCTGCTTGGACCAACTTCAGTGCAATTGCCAGGAAAGACAGCATGGCTATGCTTTGCCCCTTGCTTCAGCTTGGCTCTGTCCTTGCGACCACGTGAAAAGGGGCTTGTCTAGTTTGTCCTCAAAACCCCAAGACTTGCCAAAAGATTCTGTGGGAAAGAAGTGGATTCAGCTGGAGTCATCATTGTATTTCTAGTTCCACTGATGCGTTTATATATTCCACTCTTAGAGAAGAAGACTATGTGTTGTTAACAAAGCTTCCTTCTAGTTATTACACCGTTTTGTGGTAACTACCAATAGCTTCTGTCAAGATTATATAGTTCAGAGCTCATGACGTTTACATTGCACCGGCCTGTCACAGGCTGCACGCTGGCTTTCGGATCGGAACCGAGCTCCTGGATGAGGTACCAACACAAACGTTTCAGCAGGTGTGCGCAGAATGCCCCAGATCACAAAGCCTTTAAGCATTTCCCAACATTTTGTTTCTATTTTACCTCCTATGTGACACCTGTGTGCTTCTGGCTGAGTGTGACCTCATTTTGCATCCCGGCATTTGCCGCTGACTCCTGACCAGGCTGGCGTTACAAATTTCAATCTACCGCTCAGGCAGAAATCGAAAGTGAAGAAGTCCACAAGTGGCAGACTTTAGTGTCGAGAAGCCGACCATGATTGTTGTGTAAATAAATAGCAACGTGCCAAGGGATTAATTCTGCTTGGAATCAAGCCTGCATGAAACGTGAGCAGCTTGAACCCAAGTCCGAACAATTCGAGTTCCTGCTGGGTCTTCGAACATCGTTTCCAGGGGCTTCTTGCAAGAAGTGCAGAAGCAGTACCACAACGTCCCCTACCACAACCATGTTCATGCTGCTGACGTCTTGAGCTCTTGTGCTTACTTCCTCCGCGAGGACAGGAAACAGAGTTGACCCAGTAAGCACTTCTTGAGTTCCAACAAAGAAATAGTCATTGGGTTTCCGGACTTTTCCGACTTTGGTCCCCTTGGTCAAACGGCATACTCTGGATTTTCCAGTTCGCTTCGGGAGGACCGGCGGGTGAGCCGCATCCCGCTCGGGAGCATTCCGCGGCTCTCAGCCTTCGTGGCAGTGACGACCTCAGAGGCAGCGATTTGTAGCAGGTGCGAATGAAAGCTCGCAACATTCAACCACAGAGCTCTGCTGGAGATGTGGGGTTGGTTGGCAGTTTTGGTGGGGAAGTGGCATAGAGTGCAGAGACAAAGACGGCGACCTTCTTCTCATCCTTTGCTTTCCCAGCAGAATGTAGTTGCTGGCCTCTGGCAGCCTTCTCGTTGCAGTTGCATGGACCGTTCTTGTCTCTACGACTACGCTTTCTGTCGAAGCGCTGAACGTGCGAACTGTGAAGGCTGTGATCCACGACGTGGGCCACTTCGGAAGGAGGGCAAATGAGCGGTGGATTTTGCTGCATTTATGTCAAAAAAGATTTACAGATGTTTGGAGGACTAACCGCTTTCACATTGCGAGTCATGATCCAGTAGTCGTCCTCTACAACGTGGATGCCTCAGTCGTAGCGTGACGGTTTGTTCTTGTTTCGCATCCCTTTGTGTTGTTGGAAGGACCAATCTCCCTTGGAGAATATGCATTGTACGATTGGCCCTGAACCTTAGTTTGCATCGAGCTTGAGAAGAGCAACTGCAAAGTCAGGCAAAGAGACACGGCAGAAGGGACAGGGAAAGGAACTCAATGCAAAGGAAAGGAAAATCAATATAGACAAAATGCAACGGCAAAGGAGAAAGAAAACGACGACAATACCTTAAGAGATCTGGGATTTGCTGGTTTGCTTGAAGCTCATTGTTCTTGCTGGGATGGTTTTTATTAAGCACACCGAAGGTCAAATAGTTGCTTGCGGTGGCAAATATGACACTTGCCACTGTGGGACTAGTGGTTTAGGGTCTGACGGTGAGAGTGGACAAGGTTGCTTGTTTGATCAGTAGAGTTGTGTACCTGAGTGAAGTATAGAGATCACATCAGTGGAGTCGGCCATTGGTTTGCTTGTGTCAGACAGGGTCCGTGCCTGTTGAGGCTTTAGCATCTTGCGCCAGCCTCATTCTGCACTCTTCAAGAAGCCATTTCCAATGTCGGAGGAGCCCAATGCATTTTGGTGTGCGGTTCAAGCACTTTCGAGAAATGGGTTGGCGAGAAGCTGATACAGATGCAAGCTCTTGGCTGTGCAAAATAACATTGAACTTATTAGCAGGCCAACTTGGAAGGAACGCCAATTCACACCTGCTAACAGCCTATTGCCTATTGTAAAGGGTCTGATAGTCTGATTCAAAGAGCTGCTCACACAGAGCTTGACTAAGTCTTGGATGATGTTTTTGTTTGTATAGGACGAGTGCTCAGGCGCACGCTTTTTGCCAAAAGCCTCGAGTGAGACACTTTTGAACGTTATTAGTACTGTAAATTATTAGCATGTGTCCTTCCAAATTGAAGGAGTCTTCCAACACCTGCAAAGATAGTTGTTTAGCTTGTCCCCTTTGCAAGACTGACTTTGCAGAGACTGCTTGTTCACAATTTTGTTCTTGAGTGATTCCCTTTTCCTGTAAAGGCTTGGAGGATAGCGACTTCACGCTCCTGAGGCGAACTATGGTGAATTGCTTGAGACTCTCGTTGAGCATATTTGGAGGTTTCTTCCAGTTCGAACCTTGGACTAATTGCCAATCCTTGTGCGCGGCGAGGCGTATTGTGATTGAAAGTGTCCTCGCCACGGATATGTCCAAGCACTTTGAGACCTTATCTAGGCCAGGACGAATCCGTTTGTCACGGCCCGAACTAGTAAGGATTCGCATTGCATTTTATTGCCATATAGATTTGCAGCCTGGACAGAACAAGCGCACTCAAAGCCACTGCGTCATCCTCCTGTTGTAGAGCCCTGAAGCACTGCGCTTTCTCACATGGCTGGATGTAATTTTGACAGTGTTCGCCCGATGGGATTAATAGCGCGAGCAGGTTCAAGGCCGCTATCAACTACTCCGAGCAGGGCACCCAAAGAACAACATAGCTTTATTGAGTCCAAGACGCGCTCCAAGCTGCTAGTCTTCTCTCTATAACCGAGGAGCTCTAACCATGACACCAAGCAGGACGCTCCGATTTGCTCCGAATCTGTGGTTGGTGGACTCAAGAGCGGCCTTGAGCCGATGTGCAGGTTCTAGGCTATTTTCTTCGGAGAGTTCTCATTTTGCTGAGTCGTAGAGCCATGGGTCAAAGGAGGTTTAACTTCAAGCATTCGTCATTGAATAGATGCTGACTGAGGCAGATCGGTCTGCCAGATTGGTATCAATCTATTTGAAGGCACATTGTTTAAAGATGTTCAGGTGTGTGTGTGTGTGTGTGCGCGCACGCACCATTTCACCTTTACTTTTCTTTAAAGGGGTTGGCTGCTGTTGCTCCTGAAGACCAGGCTGCTGATATTGGCCATGCAGGAAAGCCTTTGGCTCATGGCTCAGTCTCACGGGTTAGCTCATTCTGGTGCAATAGCCTGTTGGTGCCAAGGAAATCACTCGTCGGATGACTATCCGGATACATATGTGTCTTTCTCAGAGTCTTTGTCAAAAGCTGCGAAGCTCTCACCGAGAAGCTCATCTCATTGACAAAGTCTCCTCAGAGCTCAGAAGCTCACCTTTGGAGCACTCCTGAGGGAGTTCTTTGCACAAGGGGAGGAGGAGCGTGAGTTGGCCACCCAGAGGGAGACACAGATTTCACTTGGATCTTTTGATCAAATCAAATTTGATAAACCCCACAGACCTACATAATCCTCACAAAGCGCTTTTGGGTTCTTTTTGAAGTCCCTAAAAATCTAGGAACCACATGAATAGTGCGTGAGATATCCTGCATCCAGTTCCTAGTGCACCCAGTTCCTAGTTTCTACTTAATTAAGTAATTAAGGGGTCCGCTCAAAAAGTATGATACAACACAAATAGAGACATAGTTTCACGCAAAAGATGTTAGTGTTGGAAGCCCTCAAAGACTGAGGCTCGGTCTTCCTATCTCACCGCTTTGCGATAGAAATGAGGCGCTGTTCTGACATGGCCCATGGCGGTTAAACGAGGAGGATTCTTAATAAAGGTCATAGAAAGGTCCGAAGAGCTCCAGCTCCAGCTTCAAAGGCACTTCTTTTCTTTGCTCCCTGCAGGTCGACATAGCAGGGTCACAGGCTTGGCTGTTTTTCTTTTTTCCTTTGCATTTTCTGCACAAAAGGACACGAATGCTTGAAGCAAAACGATGTGAATTTAGCACGAATGGTCGTTGTACAGCAGGTGGGCTTCCTTCATCACCTTGTGCTTCCGTTGTACAAGGTGTGGTTTTGGCCTCCAGCAGATATTTCGACACTTCCCATTGCTGACAACAGTCTAAGGACCGCATATGGATCTGCCCACCCCCACATAGACTTCTACCCTGTTCAGCTAAAGTCTCCATCAACCCTTGTCCGGAGGCAGTGCATTTTTTCATCACGAGTGACGAGCTTTTGGGAGACTGCCTCAACCGTCTTGAGGTGCCGGGGTCAAGACACATGTCACATGTCGTTTGCACAGGCACATGAGTCTTATTGTAAGAAGCATTGGGTCAAAGATCAAGAAGAGAGACCAGGTCCTACCTCCTGCTTTGCTTAGCTGCATTGTTTGGCTTTCATTGCCCCGCAGCTCGATAGACCCGCAAAGTGACTTGCTGATATCGTGTTTCATCATGTTTCACCGGTTTTGGTTCAACTTCTAGTATTTTTCTGCTCTTTAACGGTGACACAGCTTTCTCTGACGGCTCTTGTGCAAAAACTCCAACTGATAGCGTCCCTCAAAGGCGAATTTGAGCCACTGGCAGTCACCAAATCCATGTGTCTACTCCTGAGACGGGTGGTCGGCAGGACGTCTGGCCTTTGGTTTTGGGTCCTCTTGGGTCCTAGCTTTTACTTATTTCATCTCATGCTCATTCGTGCAAAGCCACGAAGCCCAATTCACGGGTGTAGTGGGCCACTTTGGATTGGTTTTTGACACTAAGCAGTTTCCTTTGATTTCTTTCTTTCTTTCTTCTCTTTCTGTTTCTTCATATTCTTTATATCCAGACCTTTCTTTCTTTCTTTCTTTCTTTTTCTGTGCTTTCTTCCTTCCGCTGTTGAATTACTGCCAGCAAATCCAAGGCACTGCAGTGCGCCATAGAATGTGTGCACCAAACCATGCCTGTCACAACAAGCTCACCATTACGTATAGGAAAATTGTGCTTTATTTTCCGCGGAGTCGTATGACTAACACGCTCGTGTGGGTCGGTCAGTGGTTTTAAACAAATATATAAGGACACTGAATGTGTTTTAGTTTGATGGTGAAAGCTGTGGCTTTGACCTACTTGTTGCTCAGGTCACAACTGGTGACATCCCTCACAAGCACACTAGCTGTGACCAGCTCAATCCCTGCTTCTGCATAAATTGGTTTGGCTCAAGTCTTCCAGTCACGTAAAAGAACCACGAAGCCCCGACATTTCTGATTTCTTCATATCTTTTGTGCCCTTTGCTGATTTAAGTTGATTTTGAAGCTCGAACGACTTTAATTACTTGCTGTTGAGGTGACTCAGCAGCCCGGTGGCTTAGAGGCTCCAACATTGAGCCTGAAGTGCAGTAGACAAAACGACAGTCATCCTGTTTGTCAAACTCCCGACAAGGACTTGCCGAGATAGTTGAAGCTAAGCCAAGGTGTGAGTGCCATGTGAGAGATCAAATTGGCCAAAGTGAATGACAAAGTGAAACAAGTGGACAAATTGGCCTTGCTGAGGTTGCTTCCCGCGCTGTGTTCCCTCAAGAGTGAGAGGCTCAGACAACACTTGGCTGATTGGCTGTTTGGTTCAATATCACGCCGCACAGCGACGTTAGGACACAGTTTGTTCCATAAAGAAACGGTCTTTTGGACAAAACATGTTGCTCTTCGCTATATCCTTTTGCAGCAAATAAGACCAGCACTTGAACACTTAGGCAGATTGTGAAGCTTATCAATGGGCCTGTGTCTGAGATGATCCACAAATAGTACTTACAGAGGCACACTGTGCTTGACTCTACTTGTGCTCATGTGCACAGAGAACCGATAGTTCCTCCAGGTTTGACCACCAGTAGTCCCAAGTACCAGAGGCGCCCATGGATTTGCCGTCTTGCTTCTTCGGAATCCGCTTCTCTTCTACACGCTCGACAAAGATGCTACAACACTCTGGGTCGGTCAAATCGCAGGCTTCCAAGCATAGGCTTCAATTTTCAGCTTGATAACACATTTGCACCTCAACTAACACAAACTCCAGGCCTTTAATTTCCGATCTCCAAACAAAGGGGAAACAAGGAAAGGGCATGACAAGCGTTTCTCCGTGATGATTCAGCCGAAAGGATGCCATGAGGCACACAGCGACCAAAATGCTTTGCTTGCCAGGTGTGTTTATCTATCATGCCAGCCAGGTGTGAATGACATCCTCAACAGTCTTGGCAGGATGCAACAGGTGTGAACATGATAGTTGGTTATCTTCATCAACTTCACCTATGTAAGGATGTAAGGCATCAGATCATGAAAAGTCTTCTAATATTTGTGACAAAGAAGGTTTGAAGCCCTTGTTGCAGGGTTGAGAAATGAAGACCCGTATATTTGGAGCCGCTCTTGAACATTGAACAGACTTCCTTTTCGCAATTGATGCATTGCGGACACAGGGGCATCAAGGTTCCACTAACAACTTTTGCGTTTAAACTTTGAGTTTATATAAGGTCATGGACACGTTGAAGGGGCTATATAATACACCTTGCTTGGAGGCAATGGCTGCTCTGAGACAGTACACTCTGATCTACATCAGCTTTCTTAATTCGAACATGGGCATGAAGTCTTTAGAAGACCCACACAATGTCCGTTTTAAAAGAAGAAGGCTCACTGCTGTGGTAAGGTGACATTCAAACCCTCCTTGTGAAGAGAAGGCCTAGATTGAGCAGAGCAAGAAAAATGTGAGCCGCGCTGACCGCTTTCAGCCAAGCTTGAGTGGTCTCTGAACGCTTTGTTCAACGCATGCTTAATAGAGCCACTGACCGTTTGGTCAAAGTATCTTCTAAGCGGCTTTGGGGAGACAGGATAAAAGGAGTGCCTGGAACATGTAAGAGTTTGAGCTTGAATGATGCCACGCCTTGACACATCTAAGACATGCACAACGCATGGAAACTTCACTATTGACAATGGAAGAGGTGAATGAGCTGTGGCCTGAGTGCCGGTACTTTAATGAGTCATCCAATCACCAAGCCTTTGCTGTGAGGATCAGGAAGCTGGCAGCTAGCTGGGCAGCAGGAGGACTACAACCGGCGAGAGTATTTATTGCAGTATAGCGCCAGACGCGTTCGCGTTTTACGTGTGTATTTTTTAATAGGGAACCCGCCAGCCAATGGGTTTTTGTACTTTTTTAGTTCTTCCAGGAGGTCTTTGAGTGTTCTCCTATTTTAATAAAGACCGTATTTCAGACATGCAGGCTGCAGAGCAGTAGGGTTTCTGCAAACTGGGTCTTTTCGCAACAAGCAGTTCTTGGCTCATCAGCACAGATAGATGTATGCTTGAGCAAGAATAGAATAGAGACTGGCATTTGCAGCATAATCCGCTTGCAGCAGAAGAAGCTAACACAACACGACCCGAGCATATTTGAGTATCTTATCCCAGCCATACATTTGGGAGTATCTCCAAGGATTTCTTTCTGGAACCGCCAATGCCTTCCGGGCGACTCAGCAACTGGATCATTTGCGAGCGTGAATGCCCAGAACTCTTGGAAGGAGAACTGCCTCAGATGCACTGACACAAAGCAGCTGGCTTGTTGTACACACTCCTGTTTCATGTTCTTTTCTTGGAAGCTGTAGCTTCTGCAAGCACCAAACTGGTGGTGTGCGTTAAGACTCATATATACTCAGGATTAACTTTTTGGCTAGGTTTATTTGTTCGCAAGTAGTAACAAGTGCATCGCTACTAGTAACGAGAAGCTACTAGGGGCTCCTGGCATCGCTACTAGGAGCAAGGACGCTAGGTTTATTTGTTGAGTCCAAGTTCGCCACATGGGGACGACAGATCCAGTGGAAAGGTTTGCCTCCAGACTGCCATGCTCAGATAAAGACTTAATCTCTGCCGAATAGCCCAAGAATTGATGGCTCACAACCATTCTAGCACTGGGTTCTTCATAGATGTCGATTCTTGGGATATATCGAAATCTTGGCAGGTTTGTTTTGCGGTGCTTTGCAACTTTTCTAAGGCCTCAGGCGGAGACCAAGCTCTCCCGGAAAACAAAAGAGGCCCGGCAGATGTCTGCATGCATCTTGACCGCTCAAGACTTCACCCAAGTCCGATTTAGAGATACCCTCCGCAGCTTCAATGCTCTTTCGAGGTGAGGGTGGTTTGCTTCAACAAAGCCCGTCGTGAAATGATCCCGGGGACACCTGACCTTTGCCTTTTTGCAGGTTTTCAGAATCCCTTGCTATTGTGAGAACATCAACGTATGCTTTAACTCTTGAACAAACGGATGACACAAAGAAGGTGTGGGTCCCTCTACTAATAAGGCCCCTCTATTTCTCTTTGAACTTGGTTCCACAAAAAAAGCACCTCAGCTGTGTAGTGCCCGTGTGGTCGGAGAAGGCCTTGGCGCGCCTTGAGGGCGGTCCGTCGAGGAGCCGTGCGGCGTGCTTCGGTGTGTTCTTGGACATGGCCCTAAAATTCGATATTCCCACACGACTGTGAGTGTACTGTAAGACAACTATACAAATCACGTTTGACCGTGGTGGTTTTGTCTTTTCTGCACTCCAGGTGAGGATATTGATCAAAAGATACTTCATGACAGGGCACATAGCTGCAGAGAGCAGCCAAGCCAGATAGGCTCTTTGAACAGGGTTTTAGGTTAGGACAACTGATAACGTGGCGAGTTGCTGAGATGACCGCTGGAGCTCAAGGATTGCTTGTCCAAGGCAATAACCTTCTTCCTATTTGTTGTCCCTTTCTAACAAGCCTAGGATAGGTTCACTGCGGGGTGGCAGACTCCAAACAAAGCATGTGTCAAGTGGGAACTATGTTGTAAAGTGGGCTCTATGTTTGTTCCATGTTTGATAGCGAGCATGACCCAAGGATTACAGGATTGCATAGTTTGTGTCAGCAGGGCAATACTGCAAAACCCACAACTATGCTGGTAGCTGCATGGTATCACCCAATGTTTGTGCCTTGTCAATTTGTTGAGCTTCAAGCGCTGCAAAAAACTCTGGAGGAGCAGCTACAGTGAAGCCTTCGACTATCATGGTTCGGCTCCACTCAGGACAGAACATCAGAATTGTCCCTCCAGGAGAAAGAGACATCAACATTGACCCTTCATGCATTGAGTCTGCGCAATGGATGACCGCAGCTACTATGCATTCCACAACCAAAGCTTTGCTCGGATTGCAGATCGTGTCCATGCAAAATAAAGAGGGCAGATAGAATGTATACATACATCATTGTCCAATGCAATGGTACAGCTTGCAGGAGCAAGTCTGTTGGAAGCTTGAAGTCCCAGGCGCAGAAAAAAGCAATAAGTAGGAAGCAACAGCTCCTGCTAAATTTCAGCTTGGTTCATGGTCTTCACATGTGCTGTGGTTGAATAATGGACATTTGTGACCAACTTCTTGTTCAAGAGTGAGAAGGCGCGCTGGATGGTTCTTTGTTCTCTTGCTGAACAAGGATATATATAAATATATACACATATCTAATATATACCAAGAAACAGTGTAGGCTGCAGATAAGCGTCAGAAGCGCCAGTTTGTGCATGCCTCAGCACGTGCAGAGACTCTTTTGAGCTTTGTAGATCCAAAATGTCATTGTTACTACTAGTAATGCCCCTGTGACTAATAGCGATGACCTTGTTGCTAAATCTTGCCTTGCGGCTTTGAGGCCACAACCTACTCAGAGAGCTTCCAGAATTTTGGCCCTGAGTGGTATCAGAAGATGTCCAAGGTGGCTTTGCTTTATGAGATATATTGGACCAGGCTCCCACTCGCGGGTAAAAGGTTCTTTGGATTTGGATCTGTCCTCCTTTGGAATGCCGTCCTGGTGATTGGCCCTGGCAATAGTTTCTTCCATTCTTTGAAGACTCAAGCACATGCAAACCCGGTTAGATTCTACTGCTGGAAGCGATTTCAGGATCGCAGTTCACCTGTTCCACGGGTGATGGGTGCGGAAGAGCTGCGACAAGAGCAGCGGAAGGCGGATCGAGAGGCACAGGAAGTACTCTACAAGTGAGTCTGCCAAATTTTTCACCTCAATACTATGCAGCTAAGTCTGTCACTCCACCCATTCCTTTGTCTATGTCTGAGGTGAGTTGAAAACCAGAGATCTTGTGAAGGCGTTGCATTCAGAATTTGAACTTGAGACTTTGCCGTTTTTGGGGCGAGACGCGATGGTGTAAGTCGATGCCCTTTGGGGATATGCTCGGTTGCAAGCACCCTGCCTCAAATTTGGCTTCTAGACTGAGCAGGATGGGTTCTCCCATTCATCAATATTTTTCCCTGATTTCACGTGACCTGAGAGGCTGAGTACTGGGCTACAATCATTAAAGCTCGTGCCATGGAGGAGCTTGGGTTTTTTGGTTTGTGCACTTGTATCGTTTGGGCAACCGTGACTGTCAGCTTCGCAGGAGCAGAACAAAGATGGCACGTACATGCAGAAATACTTTGGGCCTTTGCAGGCACACTCACTAATACCACCCGCACAATTTCCAGCCCAATAGCAATGCCCTCCAACCTAATAGCGATGGCCTCCAACCTAATATATATATATATATATAATATATATATATATATAGCGATGGCCTCCTCGTCCAACCTACTAGTCCTCATTCAGAGCCTCCTATCTATCCTCTTGAAGCGGCGCATGCTAGAGCGTCCTTTTTCTTTTCATTTCAGCTGTGTCGCAAGTTCTTGCTTGATTGACTTTTTGTAGTATTTCTACACTGAGTGCTTCAGAATGCTTCAGACAAGGTGAGGGTTTGTGTTGACTCAAACACAGAGTCTGGCTAGGGCTCGCTGCGGGAACTTGCTCTCACTTTGACCGGTGAGGGTGAAATCAAAGGCTCATTCGTCCTTTTCTCAGACGGATCACGCCGTGTGACTCTGGCTGAACAAAGTCTCTGAGTTTTGACGTTTTGGACCCCAAACAAGAAGCTACTAGTAACAAAGGGCATCGCTACTAGGAGCAAGGACGCCACTAGTAGCTCCTGGCCTTACTACTAGTAACAAGAAGCTACTAGTTTCAAAGGGCATTACTTCTTGTTTTGTGTTCCAGACGAGTCGTTGGGTTGTGACGTTGAAAACCCTGACCTCTGCGATGCACCTACGAGTTTAAGGTCGGGGGGCCTGCTCCGAACACTTGGAAGAGTGAGGCGCGGCCAGTGCACTTGGATGATTGACTACGCGATGGCTAACCAGTGAGGTGAACGACTCATTGACTAGTGCAGCTACTAGTGCATAAGCTTCCCGGAAGCCAACCTTGAGTTCAGTCCAGTGTTCAAGGAAGCAGACAATAAGCATGTCCTACTTGTGGCAGTGCCTCATAACATGTGCTGGAAGGGCTTGAATTTAGCTACTAGGAGCAAGGACGCTACTAGTGGCACTACTACTAGGAACAAGAAGCTACTAAAAGCAAAGGGCATCGCTATTAGGAGCAAAGAGCTTGGCCGTGCCGGTTTGACAGTTTCAATTGATCGCCCTGAAGGCGAGAGCTAACTTCACACAGAACGCCTTCTCCAAGACGAGCGCTGCAAAGTATGAGTTGCTGCCGGCTCAGTTGACCATTGTTTAAAGGCTTCCTTCGCATCGTAGATTTTGGCAGGCCCAGTTTGGATCGGCAAGTTTAGTATTAGTCTCACACAAGAGCTCGTTTCTCAAGTTTAACACACGAGCTTGCAAATTGTACTGACACAAGTGTGCACACTGCAACAGGCAAATTGCAAAGACCAACAAATGAACACCCAAGTATGCTTTTGTGCTTGGCTATTTTGGGCGGAATCACCTAAATTGATCAAGACGGTTTGCTGTTTGGCGCTGCCGAGGCCAGCAAAGCTGGTGGCTTTGGCCAAGCTCAAGAACTCCTAGATGGCTCGATATGACCGAGAGCACGCCATACCAATCCTCTTGAAGAAACCTAGCAGCCATATTCAGCTGACATTATAGGTTTAGCTATATATGTTTAGGTCGGAGCTTATGATTCTTTGCATCCACCTTGTTGACTGGTTACAATGTGGCTTTGAACTATGGGTTTCTTCTTTTTCATCGCACCATTCCCATTTGTTCTGCTTGGTCATTCTTTTGTGCCGCCCGCCATTTGAAAGACAACATGAGCTTCAAAGCTCGCTGCTCGCTACTTACCTGCCACCAGGTTTTACCTGGCGGTCTCTTCTTAAGGAAGATGTCCAAAGTGTCCAAAGGTATCTCCTTTGTAGTACTCTGTCGGTTGTGTTTGCCCATTGAGCATGACCGCTGAGATCGGCAAAAGTTGCCTGAGAGAGAGAGAGAGAGAGAGAGAGAGTGAGCGGGGGGGACGTTGTGTGTGATGTTGTGTCCGTTTGTGCACTTTTGGACGTTCAGTTGGCAATCACTAGGACAGCCAACAATGCTTGCATCCGCTGTCAAAGTCCAAATGAACCAAAGATAGAATGTAGCTGTCTTCTGCAACACGTGGTCTTTGTAAGTCTTCTTCCACAATTTACTTAATTGGGAACATCTATATCTTGCCTACATGCAAATTGCAAACCATAGGTTGTGGACAGCCACAAGTAACAGAAGGAACCAAAGCGCATTTTATGGCTGGACGTATAGCTTGCCATGCATCCGCGGAACAAGCACCGGATCTATTTGGATTACCGTGAGTTGGCAAAGAAGCAGACAGGTTTGCAGCCCTTTGTCTTCGAAAACCAATGGGGGGGGCGCCTCAATTGACTACTCAGATCCTGACGCCTTGGAAGAGTTGACCCGAGCCCTGCTGGCAGAATTCTATGACATCAGGCACTGGAGGCTTCCGAAAGGATATTTGTGTCCACCCGTGCCACAGAGAGCCGATTACATTCATGTCCTAGCAGACCTTCTACAGCACTCTTTGCATGAGATGGAACCTCGTGGTCCGTCAGTTTGTGGTCTCGATGTCGGGACAGGCGCAAGTTGCATCTATAGCTTGTTGGGCACACGGGAGTACGGCTGGAGCTTCATTGCCAGTGACATTGATGAGACTGCGCTAACCAATGCGGAGAAGCTGTTGAACGAAAACGGCCTTAAAGAGCGCATCACCCTGCGTCAACAACAGGATCCAAGACGGGCCCTGCGTGGGATTTTGCTTCCCCATGAAGTGGTGGCCTTTAGCATTTGCAATCCACCCTTCCATGAAACAATAGAGCACGCAAGACAAGCTGCATCTTCCAAGTGGAAGAGGCTTGGAAAGGAGCTGAAGAGGAAAAATTACCAGGCCGGGCAGCCTCAGCTTTGGTAGAAGGTCTACCTATCTATCTATCTATCTATCTATCTTAACATAAATTAGATTCAGATCAACACCCTGCTTTGAAGAAGCTGAAAAGATATGGCTTGAACAGGGCAGCAGATTCATGCATTGCAAGAAAAAGTCTGCACCTTCGATCCACTAAAGTGGCTGCTATAGGCCATCTGAACGCATTGCCAGTTCTTCCTGATCTTAATTGACTTCCTTCCCAAGACTTGATTGACGATCAATTCCTGAATGGCCAACCGCCATCAGGGCCAGGAGCCAGAGCTTTGTTGCGAAGGTGGGGAGGTGGGCTTTGTGACGAGACTCATGGAGGAGAGCGCCAAGGTCGGCTGACAAGAGACTCGTGGATCCAAGCCTCTACCCGACCCAGAATCTTAAAGGACATAACGGGAAGAAGCCAGCGACACGACCTGAGGGATGGTATACTGATACTGCATTGTAAGGTGTTCGAAGGGTTGTAGGAAAGGCACATATATATATATATCTATATTGCATTCTTGGGGCGAGAGTCTGACCTGTGAGGTGCGCTTCAGAAGCCGGTGCCTTTGGTACTCAAGCTTGCTCTCCAGGTGCCAAGGGCATTATGTTTCCATTCTCAACATATTAACATAAGAGTCCTGGAATGGAACAACAAAAGCATGGAATTTTATCAACGTAGAAATCAAGGTGTGTTCTTCCTCCCTTCGTAATATGTTTAATAAGAGAGCTCGACGTTATGCGGGTGTGGTTTTTACGTGCTTTTGTGGTGTTTTTCTTAGATTTTGTCCTGTTTAGTCAGAGTTTCCATGGTTATAGTCTAGATATGTTCTTGTGCTCCTGTTTCCTAAACAAAACCAACTTTTCTTGTTTAAAAAACC